GATTGAATTCGAGAAGCCAGTTACTGGACCACATGTCCAGCCTGTCCAGGTCTCTTTGCAGTCCTGCCTCATCCTTGTCCGATTTAATTCTTCTCATCAACTTCACGTCATCTGCGAACAGGGACACTTCAGAGTCTATTCCTTCCATCATGTCGTTCACATATATAAAAAATAGCACTGGTCCTAGAACTGACCCCTGTGGGACCCCGCTCGTAACAGGCGCCCACTGTGATACCTCTTCACGTACCATGACTCGTTGCTGCCTCCCTGTCAGGTATTCCCTTATCCATTGCAGTGCCCTCCCTTTTACATGCGCCTGATCCTCCAGCTTCTGCACTAATCTCTTGTGGGGAACTGTGTCAAAGGCCTTCCTGCAGTCTAGGAAAACGCAATCTACCCACCCCTCTCTCTCGTGTCTTACTTCTGTTACCTTGTCATAAAACTCCAGGAGGTTTGTGATACAAGATTTGCCTTCCATGAACCCATGCTGGTTTTCATTTATAATCTTGTTCCTTTCCAGGTGTTCGACCATTCTCCTCCTGATAATCTTCTCCGTGACTTTCGACACAATACATGTCAGAGACACAGGTCTGTAGTTTAGTGCCTCGTTTCTGTTTCCTTTCTTAAATATGGGGACTACATTAGCTGTCTTCCATTTCTCAGGTAGTTGCCCAGTTTCAAGGGATGTGTTGAAGATTGTGGTTAGAGGTGTGTGTGTGTGTGTGTGTGTGTGTGTGTGTGTGTGTGTGTGTGTGTGTGTGGTGGTGTGTGTGTGTGTGTGTGTGTGTGTGTGTGTGTGTGTGTTTGTCTGTGTCTGTGTGTGTCTGTGTCCATGTCTCTCTGTCTGTCTATGTCTATTTGCACCAGTAACTCAGTACAGTTGTAACCAAGTGTGGAAGTGTGAATTGCTTATTACTGTATAATTTGTTCATGATCGTAGCCATGTATAAACATAAGTAACGATACTTAAAGGATTCATTACATTTTTAACTTGTGAGCTCATTACCTTTATACCAAGTTCAGCTATCAAAACTTTGGGGGCCCAGTCCCTGGACCCATTATGTACCTCTGTAATCTGTAAATACCTTTGTAACTTGTCATGATTGTGACCAGACCTACCTGGAGTTGATTACCTTTGTAAATTATGATTTCATTACCTTTGTAAATTGTGAGTTCATTACCTTTGTAACTTGCTCAGCTATCATAACTTTGAGGCCCAGTCCCTGGACCCATTATGTACCTCTGTAATCTTTTGACTACCGCCCACAGGATGGGTATGGGGTGCATACTAAAGATATTAAACTAACTGTGAAAAGAAAAGTAATTGGGTTTGATGAAAGGAAGGGAAGGGTAGTCCCAATTCCTTGGATTGCCAGTATTAATTAAAATCCCCACTGGCCCTCTGAATTATCACTTAAGTAATATATCATTAAGAGAGACTTCTCTGCACATCAGCTTTCTGGAAGAGAAGCTGGCACTGGTAATGTGTAGCTCAACAGTAGTTTCACTCACCACCTAAAATATTAAAGTTCAGTCCCTGGATGTGTCAAGATTTATTGGTAAGTCTCCTTAACACTGCCTCCTATGATCACTCAGCAGCAAATAGGTACCTGGGTGTGAATCATCTGCTGTGGGTCACATCCTGGGGAAGAGGACTGAAGGATCCTATTGGAAATAAGCCACACTGCTTGACTTTATACTGGGGTTAATAATCCCAAAAAATTTTCTTCATTTATATGACAGGATTCACAAAGACTTCATATATCGTTAAGCTAGTTTTATTAATTCAAAGCACAGTAACAAAATAAAAATGTTTTATGTGACATTTGGAGATTTTATACAAAATTACTTTTATAAAAGAAATTGGCAACTTCTTTTGAACTAGATGAGTACAAACAGGTAGAGCATCTGTCCTGCATTTACCATACAGAGGCTGAAGCCTTCATCACCTGTTCAGAATGACCTGCATGGGTTTAGTGCTTCACATAATGGCAGTTTGTTTAAATCAGAGATGGTTACAAGCAATGGACCTGACTTGGAAAATATGTGATATAAGCCACACAAAAATGTATCCATCTCAAACACATTAATTTATTAAAAAAAGAGTCACTCGATTTACATCAGTCACTTGGAAACTGGAGAAATACTACAATTAAAAGCAGTAATAGCATGCAAGAATTGCTGTAACCCTGTTGCTCTACAAGAATTAGTGCTAGTGCTAGATCTCTCGAGTACTAATCATATACTGTACATTCACACTGCTTTCTTCTTACACAAGACTACAGCATACAGTATCATAAAGGCTGTTTTTCCAAAACATACCGGTATATAAATTAATCCCTTACTTCTCTTTGGTTTATGACAGTAAATAAATTATACATTAAAATTATACTCACAACATTGCACTACATGACATGACCTATTTAGCTGGAATAATCAGAGAATGAGTCAAATGTCCACCATGTCAAGATGTGCTCTGACCTCCAAGAATAACTGAATTTCAAAGTAATTCGAACTGCTGTGTCAAGATTAAATTATCCTTCACACAAGATGAAGTTTTAAACTGATGCAATAATCTTTGATTACGTTAACCACTGTTCTCTTGTTATAATTTTTATCTTCTTTTTCATGTGTGTAATTTGAGTACATACTGTCTCTTACTCAGGCAACGACTTACAATGGAAAGGAAGTGAAAAAACACATTCAGGAGGAAATTACCCAACTGGAATGTTGGATGCCAACTCTGCACTTCACTGTCAGGGATGATGATGCATATGCATACCATGTACGCATTTTACTGAAATATTTTTACACAGTATGTATATATAAATATTATATATAAATATAATATATAAATATTATGCAGAAAATTCGGAGTGTGGAAATTAGGAGAAGGTGTGGAGTTAATAAAAGTATTAGTCAGAGGGCAGAAGAGGGGTTGTTGAGGTGGTTTGGTCATTTAGAGAGAATGGATCAAAGTAGAATGACATGGAAAGCATATAAATCTATAGGGGAAGGAAGGCGGGGTAGGGGTCGTCCTCGAAAGGGTTGGAGAGAGGGGGTAAAGGAGGTTTTGTGGGTAAGGGCTTGGACTTCCAGCAAGCGTGCGTGAGCGTGTTAGATAGGAGTGAATGGAGACGAATGGTACTTGGGACCTGACGATCTGTTGGAGTGTGAGCAGGGTAATATTTAGTGAAGGGATTCAGGGAAACCCGGGTTATTTTCATATAGTCGGACTTGAGTCCTGGAAATGGGAAGTACAATGCCTGCACTTTAAAGGAGGGGTTTGGGATATTGGCAGTTTGGAGGGATATGTTGTGTATCTTTATATGTGTATGCTTCTAGACTGTTGTATTCTGAGCACCTCTGCAAAAACAGTGATAATGTGCGAGTGTGGTGAAAGTGTTGAATGATGATGAAAGTATTTTCTTTTTGGGGATTTTCTTTCTTTTTTGGGTCACCCTGCCTCGGTGGGAGACGGCCGACTTGTTGGAGAGAAAAAAAAAAAAAAAAAAAAAAGTATATATAAAGGAGGTTTTGTGTGCGAGGGGCTTGGACTTCCAGCAGGCGTGCGTGAGCGTGTTTGATAGGAGTGAATGGAGACGAATGGTTTTTAATACTTGACGTGCTGTTGGAGTGTGAGCAAAGTAACATTTATGAAGGGGTTCAGGGAAACCGGCAGGCCGGACTCGAGTCCTGGAGATGGGAAGTACAGTGCCTGCACTCTGAAGGAGAGGTGTTAATGTTGCAGTTTAAAAACTGTAGTGTAAAGCACCCTTCTGGCAAGACAGTGATGGAGTGAATGATGGTGAAAGCTTTTCTTTTTCGGGCCACCCTGCCTTGGTGGGAATCGGCCAGTGTGATAATAAAAAAAAAAAAATATTTATACTGTATATGATGCAATAATTGCAACTGAGCTATAGCAAATGCAAAACACCTTCCCCCCACCCTCAACCACCCTGTGGTTGTTTAGCATACAGAGAGAGAGAGAGAGAGCGTGAATGAGTGAGTGCTTTTTTTTTTCTCTCCATGGGGAAGTGGAAAAGAATCCTTCCTCCCTAAGCTATGCATAAGAGGCAACAAAAAAGGCCAGGAGCAAGGGAATAGTAACCCCTTCTGTATAAATTAATAAATGTAAAAAGAAAAACTTTCATTTCTTCTTTTTCGGGTCACCCTACCTCAGTGGGAGAGTGTCAAATTTTTTTTTTTTTTTTTACAAAAGTAGGTATGGTATTTGTGATAACCTATAATAACCATTACATAATGTGGGTTTAAATAATTGTAATTGTCTAATGAGCATTAATAGTTGTAATACAGTAGAGTACTGCAGCTTAAATATTAATAATGAATACATACATTGCTACATTACAACTGTAATACAGTCTAGGAATATACTGCACTGTATAAGAAGTAATCACAGAGACCTGCGCAGCCTTTCACGAATTTTCAAAGCACACAAAATATTAATCTTATTGTAATTTGTAAAATTAGTCTTTGGAAATGTACAAGTTATTAATCATACTATATGCATGACTTTAATATATGAACTTTCTAAAATACTTTTCTATAAAGTGCCTTTTTAAACTCACAGCTAACCACAAATCAGAGGTGAAACCTGGACAATATTTCTGTTTGTAGCTACAAGAGTAGAGCTGTGCTTGTGGTGTCCCCTCATCAATAATTTGTTCATAATATAATTTTTTAACATATCCAATTATTGTAGCACTTACTACATCCTCCTGTAATTTACAGTACGAGTTAGTTGTAAAGTGTTCCAGTCAGAATACAGTATTGTGACTAATATTCTAGATACTTTACATTTCTGAAAAACAAGTTTTCTTTTCTTAGACTTCTAATTATTCCCTTGAAAAACTCTACAGAGTTTGTTACATGCATTTCAGTTATGACAATAAAACTACAGATGACACAACAGAGCATTGTATAAATTATCAATAATGTTGTTTACAAACTCTCCATGGGCATTTAAAGAAGACATTAAATCACAAGTGTTTTTTATTTATGCTCGTGTTTTAACCATTAGACTTTCTTCATGGCAGTTCCCTATAATTGTATACATAAGTTCACTTTACAAGCAACTATCACATAATGAAAGCAATGCTGACGATACGAAGAAATTAAGAATGACGTGAGGTAATAATTGATTTTTTGGAGCAATACAAAAATTTATGGCTTACAAAGCAAAAACAATTATAAGATAAATCATTTATAATATATAGAAAAATATCATGTACATACTTAATTTTAGTATTAAAATAAAAATACTAATAGATAAAATCTAATAAATAATATGGCACAATATAACTGTCAGAAAGGAGTTAGGCATTACTAAATAAAATAACCTATAGAGCAATGTTCCCTTGTCTGTGTGGCTGTACAACACCATTCAAGTGCTATGCACTAAATATTCAGGCCCTGCACATTCTCAGTTATGGTGACTTCAGTCAAGTCAGTGACTTGCTTATATTAAATAGTTTAACCCTTAAACTGTCCAAACATAGATCTAGGTTTTTTTCTTACATTTGAAAGCATGTAAACTAAAACGTAGATCTACGTTCGGAGCGCTACGCCCGTGAATGTAGATCTACGTTTGGACAGTTTAAGGGTTAATTTTATTTTGTTAAATATTTATTATACTGAATTTCATATGTAGCTGTGGGCTAAGATAGCTTTAAAAAATACATCAATAATATACATGTATAGAAGAGTGACTTTCTACTTTCAGTACACATTCACATATTACTTCCTTACTTGGACACACAATAAAAGTTATTCTGTACATAGATGTACACTATTTTAACAGAATATTCACACCTGCAAGATATCAAGCACATACTAAATTCCTAGAATTATATTTAGTCATCCCAAAGGCACAGCTGTCGTTGTAGTACAAAATAACTGAAATTTCGACATTTGCGGCAAGTGCGAATACCACAGCGGTATGACACAGCCTTCCCAGAGTTGTCTCTTCCTTTGCAGTATTTGAGGCCACATGGATACCATGCAATGCAGACCTAAAAATAACATTTTCTTGTGAGTATTTAGTACACAGAAACAGTAACAATTTACAGAAATAATTTGAAGTTTTTTGGTTTAGACAAGTCATACATGTATTATAAAATAAAAAAAAACTTTCAGGACAATTTATTTTTAAAAGATGATAATGAAAGTAATGAAAAATCTGAAGATCTTTTAGGTACCTACATCCCTTGGGACTGGTACATTAAAATGTACCAGTCCCAAGGAATGAACTAGCTGTTAGTGATTTTGAGGGTCACACCTATCATTCTTTCCCATCCCCATCTTACAATATTAAATATTACTCAGTGGTAACATTACCTTTACACCCTTGTAATACTATCTCACAAGATATCAAGAATAATTCTGCTTGTATCATATCTCACTTATACCCATTGTTTATGTACAAAGTGTTATGGTATGAAAAAAAAAAATGACTCGAGATGATTTTGTCATGTATAAAGAAATGAGCAGGATAGGTTAATAGAGAGGGGTGTATAAATCTGGGGTGGAGAGAAGTGTACCAGAAAGCATAGGAAGGTTTGGGAAAAAGGTGTTGGTGGTTACTACATAACTGTAGTTACAGGAGTAGCACTATATTCGTGGTGTTCCATTTTCAGTGATTAATTGGCTGCATCATTTTTTTTTTAGATTTCCATTGGCTGTAAGTTATAGCACATACTGCACAGTACTACCTCCTCCTGGACCTCATTTCAGCAGTCTACCACTATTTATGAAGAAATATTTTCCAAAATTATTCTGGCAGTTCTTTTTCTTAAGTTTACAGTTGAGTCCTTTTATCCCTGTTGATTGTGCTAAGAAATCTTCTTAACCTATTTTTTCACATTTATTTGTGATCTTTAACATAGTTATCTTATCGCCACATTTCCTCATATCAATCAACGAGGAAATTTTCAATATTTCTCCGGGAATCAAATTTCTCAACTCTGGGAATAATTCTGTAGCATGTGTGTAATTTTTTTTTTTTTTTTTTTTACCTTTTTTTTTAAGGTGTAAATATCCCTTTATAGCTGAGCATTCATTTTTGCTCTAATGTTTACTGTAAACAATTTTTTTCTTTGCATTTCACCATGCATATATCAAAAGTCTATTTTAAAGTAGGCAAGTGTAGTTAGTGTTCACTACGCTGCTGCATTTACACAATCTTCTATTTATATTAAATACATGTATAGTAGTAGGTTGGTAGACAGCAACCACCCAGGGAGGTACTACCGTCCTGCCAAGTGAGTGTAAAACGGAAACCTGTAATTCTTTTACATGATGGTAGGATTGCTAGTGTCTTTTTTCTGTCTCATAAACATGCAAGATTACAGGTACGTCTTGCTACTTCTACTTTCACTTAGGTCACACTACACATACATGTACATGTTTATTTATACACACTCGTCCGAGTTTTCTTTGATTTTATCTAAATAGTTCTTGGTCTTATTACTTTTCCTTTTATATCCATGAGGAAGTGGAATAAGAATCTTTCATCCGTAAACAATGGGCTAGTAACGCCTTCTCCTGTAATAATTACTAAAAAGAATAAGAAGAAAATTGTCAAAGTGGGAAGTCTGAATGTGCGTGGATGTTGTGCAAATGATAAGAAAGAGATGATTGTGGATGTTATGAATGAGAAGAAGCTGGATGTTCTGGCTTTAAGTGAAACAAAGATGAAGGGGGTAGGAGAGTTTCAGTGGAGAGCAATAAATGGGATTAGGTCAGGGGTTTCAAATAGAGTTAGAGCTAAAGAAGGAGTAGCAATAATGTTGAAGGATAGTTATGGCAGGAAAAGAGGGACTATAAATGTATTAATTCATGGATTATCTGGAGTAAAATAAAGGTTGGATGTGAAAAGTGGGTTATAGTAAGCGTATATGCACCTGGAGAAGAGAGAAGTGTAGAGGAGAGAGAGAGATTTTGGGAGATGTTGAGTGAATGCGTGGGGAGTTTTGAACCAAGTGTGAGAGTAATGGTAGTTGGGGATTTCAATGCTAAAGTGGGTAAATATGTTGTGGAGAGAGTAGTAGGTAAATTTGGGGTGCCAGGGGTAAATGAAAATGGGGAGCCTTTAATTGAGCTATGTGTAGAAAGAGGTTTAGTAATAAGTAATACATATTTTATGAAGAAGAGGATAAATAAATATACAAGATATGATATAGCACGTAATGAAAGTAGTTTGTTAGATTATGTATTGGTGGATAAAAGGTTGATGGGTAGGCTCCAGGATGTACACGTTTATAGAGGGGCAACTAACATATCGAATCATTATTCAGTTGTAGCTACAGTTAGAGTAAGAGGTAGATGAGAAAAAAGAGGAAAATGGCAACAACAAGTAAGAGGGAGGTGAAAGTGTATAAACTAATGGAGGAGGAAGTTAGGGTGAGATATAAGCAACTATTGGCAGTAAGGTGGACTGGTGAAAGTATGAGCAGTGGGGGGAGGAGTGGGGTTTGAAGAGAGTTGGAATATTTTTAAAAATGCAGTATTAGAATGTGGAGCAGAAGTTTGTGGTTATAGGAGGGTGGGTGCAGGAGGAAAGAGGAATGATTGGTGGAATGATGAAGTAAAGGTTGTGATAAAAGAGAAAAAGTTAGCATATGAGAGGTTTCTACAAAGCAGAAGTGTTATAAGAAGAGTAGAGTATATGGAGAGTAAAAGAAAGATGAAGAGAGTGGTGAGAGAGTGCAAAAGGAGAGCAGATGATAGAGTGGGAGAAGCGCTGTCAAGAAATTTTAATGAAAATAAGAAAAAATTTTGGAGTTAAACAAGTTAAGAAAGCCTAGGGAACAAATAGATTTGTCAATTAAAAACAGAGTAGGGGAGTTAGTAGATGGGGAGAGGGAGGTTTTGGGTAGATGGTGAGAATATTTTGAGGAACTTTTAAATGTCGACGAAGAAAGGGAGGCGGTTAATTTCATACACTGGACAGGGAGGTATACCATCTTTTAGGAGTGAAGAAGAACAGGATGTGAGTGTGGGGGAGGTGCATGAGGCATTACGTAGAATGAAAGTGGGTAAAGCAGCTGAAACTGACGGGATCATGACAGAAATGTTAAAAGCAGGGGGGGGACATATAGTGTTAGAGTGGTTGGTATTTTTGTTTAATAAATGTATGAAAGAAGGGAAGGTACCTAGAGATTGGCAGAGAGCATGTATAGTCCCTTTATATAAAGGGAAGGGGGACAAAAGAAACTGTAAAAATTATAGAGGAATAAGTTTACTGAGTATACCAGGAAAAGTGTACAGTAGGGTTATAATTGAAAGAATTACAGTTAAGACAGAATGTAGGATTGCGGATGAGCAAGGAGGTTTTAGAATAGGTAGGGGATGTGTAGATCAAGTGTTTACATTGAAGCATATATGTGAACAGTATTTAGATAAAGGTAAAGAAGTTTTTATTGCATTTATGGATTTAGAAAAGGCATATAATAGAGTCGATAGGGGAGCAGTGTGGCAGATGTTGCAAGTATATGGAATAGGTGGTAAGTTACTAAATGCTGTAAAGAGCTTTTATGAGGATAGTGAGGCTCAGGTTAGGGTGTGTAGAAGAGAGGGAGACTACTTCCCGGTAGGTCTTAGACAGGGATATGTAATGTCACCATGGTTGTTTCACATATTTATAGATGGGGTAGTAAGAGAAGTAAATGCTAGGGTGTTCGGGAGATGGGTGGGATTAAATTATGGGGAATCGTATACAAAATGGGAATTGACACAGTTGCTTTTTGCTGATGATACTGTGCTTATGGGAGATTCTAAATAAAAACTGCAAAGGTTAGTGGATGAGTTTGGGAGTGTGTGTAAAGGTAGAAAGTTGAAAGTGAACATAGAAAAGAGTAAGGTGATGAGGGTATCAAATTATTTAGATAAAGAAAAATTGGATATCAAATTGGGGAGGAGGAGTATGGAAGAAGTGAATGTTTTCAGAAACTTGGGAGCTGACGTGTCAGCGGATGGATTTATGAAGGATGAGGTTAATCATAGAATTGATGAGGGAAAAAAGGCGAGTGGTGCATTGAGGTATATGTGGAGACAAAAAACATTATCTATGGAGGCAAAGAAGGGAATGTATGAAAGTATAGTAGTACCAACACTCTTATATGGGTGTGAAGCTTGGGTTATGAATACAGCAGCAAGGAGGCAGTTGGAGGCAGTGGAGATGTCCTGTCTAAGGGCAATGTGTGGTGTAAATATTATGCAGAAAATTCGGAGTGTGGAAATTAGAAGGTGCAGAGTTAATAAAAGTATTAGTCAGAGGGCTGAAGAGGGGTTGTTGAGGTGGTTTGGTCATTTAGAGAGAATGTAGGTGAAGGAAGGCGGGGTAGGGGTCGTCCTCGAAAAGGTTGGAAGGAAGGGGTAAGGGAGGTTTTGTGGGCGAGGGGCTTGGACTTCCAGCAGACATGAGTGAGCGTGTTCGATAGGAGTAAATGGAGAAGAATGGTATTTGGGACCTGACAATCTGTTGGAGTGTGAGCAAGGTAATATTTAGTGAAGGGATTCAGGGAAACCGGCTATTTTTATATAGCCGGACTCGAGTCCTGGAAATGGGAAGTACAATGCCTGCACTCTAAAGGAGGGATTCGTGATATTGACAGTTTGGAAGGATATGTTGTGTATCTTTATACGTACATGCTTCTAAGCTGTTGTGTTTTGAGAACCTCTGCAAAAACAGTGATTATGTGTGAGTGAGGTGAAAGAGTTGAATGATGACAGTATTTTCTTTTTGGGGATTTTCTTTCTTTTTGGGTCACCCTGCCTCGGTGGGAGACTGCCGACTTGTTAAAAAAAAAAAAAAAAAAAAAAGTCAATCTTTTTGTCCATAATTACCATATCCCTAAATCATTTCTGCTGCCCCCACTATCTCCTGCACAGAACCCCACACTCAGCAGTTATTTATGCAAGAGTAGGCTAGGAGCCAAAAAGAGCATAAAAGACCTCTCAGGAATATTACAAGCAAGCAATAACAAACATTACACTCGACAATGGTGTTTTG